TTTACTGAACCAAGTGGGAAATAGCAAGGCAGGCACAAAGGGTTTGCACCAGGTCTGGGGACACAGGGGACACCGTCTTAAAGGGGCCGTGTCCCCATCAAGTCTGGGGACACGGCCTGAAAGGGGCAGTGTCCCAATCTTCCTGATGTCCCAAAAAAGGTGTTTAAAGGGCCAGCACTAGTCACATAAAGAGTCCATAAGCCCCAATATGCCCACCGACAGTCTTAAAGGGCCATACACACCAAATAAAAGTGCATACATTTTCACAATCTCCCAGGGGCCATAGTCATGCGGGAGAGGCTGGCAATAGGCTTCTCCACAACCCAGGGAAGCAGGGCAATTTGCCATTTAAAGGGCCCGTTACAAATAGCAGTTTGTAACAAGGTGTCAATCCATATCTGCCAAGTGACCCGATGTAGGGGGACCAGTCCCTATTCTGCTCTGTGTCAGTGTGTATCAGGGAACCTTAGGACAGGTGTCAATCCATATCTGCCAAGTGACCCAATGTAGGGGGAACAGTTCCTATTCTGCTCTGTGTCAGTGTGTATCAGGGATCCTTAGGACAGGTGTCAATCCATATCTGCCAAGTGACCCTATGTAGGGGGACAGTCTCTATTCTGCTCTGTGTCCGTGTGCATCAGGGGCTCTGAGGACAGGTGTCAATCCATATGTCAAGGTGTCAATATGTCATATGTCAGGTGTCAATCCATATTGATTGTGATTTAGGAATGTTAGGTGATTTCTGCCCTTTATGGATTAAAACCAGACTCTGTATCAACTGTGTAATTTTCCATGGGAGTTTTGCCATGGATCCCCCTCCGGCATGCCACAGTCCAGGTGTTAGTCCCCTTGAAACAACTTTTCCATCCCTATTGTGGCCAGAAAGAGTCCCTGTGTGTTTTAAAATTCGCCTCCCCATTTAAGTCAATGGCGTTTCGGGCGGTTCGCCGGTTCGCGAACATTTGCGGAAGTTCGCGTTCGCCGTTCGCGAACCGAAAATTTCGGGTTCGCGACATCACTACTCAGCAGTCTGTGTGTATGGACTCAGCAGTCTGTGTGTGTGTATGGACTCAGCAGTCTGTGTGTGTGGACTCAGCAGTCTGTGTGTGTGTCTATGTGTGTATGGACTCAGCAGTCTGTGTGGGGATGTGTGTGTATGGACTCAGCAGTCTATCAATAATTAAAATTCCTGTGAGTTATTGTGTAGGAAGGGCCCCAGTGCATTGCTTTGCCCGGGGGCCCTTAACTCTGTTAAAGTGGTACTGCTTGTGTGTGTCAGTGAGCTTCTATTTAGTGAGCATGTGTGAGTCAGTGAGCTTGTCTTTAGTGAGCTTGTGTGTCCCTGAACTTCTTTGTAGTGAGCCTTCTGTTTATACAAGTGAGTTTGTCTGTAGTAAGCTTGTGTGTGAGTCAGAGAGTTTTGTCTGTCAGTAACCTATTTGCGCATGTCAGTGAGCTTGTGTGCTTACTGTACTCTCTCTCTCTCTCTCTCTCAGCCCTGTTACACGCGTCTGGGAGCTGCTGTTGACTAGTAGTCTAGAGATTGGGACATGGGGTATATGCTCAGCTATCTGTATAATACAGATCTGTGTGTATATAATATCCCGGGATAGTCAGTGCTTTCTGTATAGTGCTGCTCTCTGTATAATACAGGCCTGTGCCTGTATAATATCCTGGGACAGTCAGTGCTCCCTGTATAGTGCTGCCCTCTGTCTTGGGATATTATACACAAACAGACCTGTATTATACAGAGAGCAGGACTATACAGGGAGCACTGACTGTCCCAATTTATTATACACACAATCCTGTATTATACAGAGAGCACTGACTGTTGTGGGGATATTTATGGGATAATAATAGTAAACTGTGAGAATTGCCCACTAATTCAATCCTCAGATCCCAAAGGTCGTTATCGTGTTAAGTGAAAAGTATTTCATATAAATAAAATCACAATTTTGTTATAAAAATTGATTTTATTTTATAATAACAAATTAATTAATAATATTATGCAACATGCATGATAATAATCAATGAACATCCAGTATAAAATGATATGCAATACAATGGAATGGGTATACACGTTTCAATGGCTAAACAGCATTTTCTGTCAAGACTTACACGATTTATGACTATCTTTCACAGAGAGAAAACTAAGCTTTTCACAGCGAAGAGCCATAAAACCCTGGCTAACAGTTAGATTAACTGAATAACCCTTTCAATGCTGGCTAGATCCTTCTAGGTAATTAAGATCTATTCTTATGTAATTTTAAATAAAATAACATTTAAACCAGTTCATTAGTCATTTCCTGGAACCATCCAATAAGAGAATCTACCAGATTTTATAAGCAGAATTTAATTTGTCTAAAAAGATATCTTATCTTATATTAGAGCAAATCAATACACCTGGATAAAAACAGCGGTATGCTAACATGTGATACCATCACATTAATATATAATTATTCTTAATTCCACCTGCAGAATGGAATGTTTATAACTATATATTCTTTAGTTAACTAAGATTTCTTAATATGGAAATCTGACCGTGATTTATCCAGTCATATATCATGCCATTAGTACATTTTAATTAATTTAATTAATTAATTGAAACCAGTATAATTACCAGTTGAGTAGATATTTCATCCGATTGGTAGATAGTCTCAGGAACTTATTTGGATGTCTCTCTGCATGGAGGTGTGTAGGAATTTCTGAGTGCAAAGTAGTGTTGGTTAGAAAGTCAGTAAAATTCTAAGTGTTAGAGTTTTAAGAGTAGAGTGTTAGTCTCAGATGTTGTCCTGGGTTTTTCTGCATGTACGAGTTGGAGTCCCCAAACTTCCAATTCCTCCTCTCTCTCCCCTTTCTCAACCCTCTACCTTTGTCTTAACTTTTTAAAGGGAAAATTCTCTGTACGTCATCAGTTGATAACCCAATAGAAGCACTAGAGGTGTGCTTACCTAGGGATCGCAATTTAGGTATTTGGTCTATAGAGGGCAGTCTTGTCCCACTAAACATACCTATCCAGGAAAGAGTTAACTTTTCCTGGTGGCTATTTTGACATCATTTTGCTTTATCTTTATAGTGGCCATAACTTACGTTTGCTTTCACTTCAAAGCATTTGTGCCAGTCTTTCTGGCATCTACTTGATCGTAACTTGTAAAATTGACAGTACGACACTCTATTTCAACCTTTTACTACAATGGGATCTTGTACATATAGAAAGTAAAATTTTATTATTTAATCTCCTCTGTCACAAATGTCTGTGTTTAGATATGCATCTATTCCATTAACATTTTAGACAGTCTGTCCAACCCCCGTTCTCCTTATCACTTGGTTTGTATATACTATGCATTCCTTTAGCTCTGGGAACGTGGTTAGTTTTACAGATAGGATAGAAATTTCGTGTTTCTTTGTTAAC